TTGTACCGCACGCCCTTGGAGTACTGCCACATGCTGCACTCTGTCACGGCCGGAGGCAAGGCTTTGTTCAAGATCCTCCGCGGCAAAAGCATCCTCACCTACATCCATGTATGACTTGGTTTATGAGACTTTATTGTTGTGTTGCAATAACACCTAGATTTTAGTATTTTTGACTACAGCAGCATTTCTTAGACACAGAGTATGAATTAAAACAAAGTTGCGTTAGTAACGTTTTCCTGTTTCCTGCACCTGGCCTGCAGTATCATGGCAACCCAAACCAACTGTGTTTCCTGGCGCGACGCGTGGACGGCGAGGAGTCAGACCAGCTGGCTCAGTTCCTGCAGAGGGAGTACTCTGTGGTGAACATCCTGGGCAGAGAGAGGGCACATGGGTACATGTGGTGGTCGACAGGTGGAGAGACGACAAACAGGGTGAATACATTGGATCTTTTATAAACACACTGTGCATTTCTGTGACCAAAGTCAGTTGATTGAATTCTAATGACCAGCCTCATGCCCTTTCTGCGCTCATTCCAGGACTTCTGCACCCGCCTGAACCTGCGCCCCGGCATGCGGGTGCTGGACGTGGGCTGCGGCACCGGAGGGTCGGCCTTCTACATGGCGCGCCACTACGGGGTTCACGTGCACGGCGTCGACCTCTCTACCAACATGATCCACATCGCCATCGAGCGCCAGGGGAAGCTGGAAGAACCTCTGAAGAAAAGGGTGAGGCGGAACACCGTGCCTAGTTGACAACAAGAACGGCTTTTGGCAGGGGAAATATCTTGAAGAAATATTTTATCATAGAAATGGGTCTAACGAACTATAAATATAATTGGAAATATTGTTAGTATTAAGCAGATAATGACTGTGGGTTACAATTCAACGTGATACATTCTAAAGTTTTGTTGATCTTTCTTGCAGCTTCAGTTCGAAATCAGCGACATCCTCACCGTGGACTACGAGCAGGAATCGTATGACGTCATCTACAGCCGTGACAGCATCTTCCATATCCCGGAGAAGCAAAAACTCTTTCAGCACATTTACGTATGTAAAATTAAATTAGATGAATATGGTTATAACAGGATCTAGTTTATGAAACATACTGTTTCGAGATTGACCGCAGTGGGTCTCATCCTGGCGCTCTGGTATGTTCCGCAGCGCTGGCTGCGTCCCGGCGGCGTCCTCTTCCTCACCGACTTCTGCAGTGGTCCTGCAACTCCCTCCAAGGAATTCCTTGCATATGTTGATGGAGCCAAACGTGAGTACTGCATTTATTTCCTTCACTCCCTATTTATTTAAGCAGCGTTTCTTAAATTCCGGTCGATCGTGTATCCTCTGGGCTAGTAAGGCACCTCGTGTAAGGGCCATCACCACCCTCACGGTTAATAGCTCTCGCCTCTCACACCGCCACGCCCATTCCCAAAACCGCTGCTAACCCCCTGTCCATAACGTACCTTTAAAGTGTGCGTAACCTAGGGAATCTCTGAGCATTCACTTTATCCATTACTGGTAATGAGTAATTGTTTATAAGTTTGAAAAGTGTCGGGTTATTCCATAAACCTTTGTCAACCCAAACTCTAAGAAGTACGTACGGATATTTTAATGAAGATGTTTCCACACAAGGGTACTCTCTCGCCGGGAAGGACTTCTACGTGAAAGAGTTGGAATCTGCAGGATTCACAGACGTGGCTTCCGAGGACCTCAATGAGGACTTCATGAAGACAAGTAAAGCGGAGCTGAAGGCCTTCACAAGCGCACGCGAAGCCTTCATTAGAGACTTCTCGGAGGAGGACTTCGCGGAGATCTCGTCCACCCTCGCTAATAAGGTAACCGACGACGGGAGACTCCTTCTCCTTCACCAGTTTGTGTCATTGCCGCTACCTTTCGTTCAGCCCATAATGGCCCTTTTTATCCATGACTGCATTTCCCTCTCCCGCAGATTCAGTGGACCCAAGAGGGGCAGATTTCATGGAGAGCATTCACGGCGATAAAAAAATAAGAGGGATGGCGAGGGACGCGTAGAAGAGGAGAAGAGAAACTTAGTTATGGCAGAGGAGATAGCGTCTGTCTGTAAACTTGAGAATATGTCATTCATTGGTGTTATCTGACATACGTTTTAGATTATATTGCAGTATCTGTAAGAACTAGGTGTAGATTATTTATTGTAACCTAAGTTTACTGTACAATCATTAATAAATATATAATACAAACATGTTATAAGAACTTTTCAACATTGTTATAAAGGTGGAGGAAAGTATGACTGAAGGTGAATAATTTCACTATGTATAAAACTATCGGCCTATATTTCTTCGAAATAAGAAATACCTTAATGATGAAAACCCTTCGAAGACGAAGGAATAGCAATGGCGGATGTCAACAGAAAGCAAAACTGGAATGACTTGAGGAGGGCGCTTGGCTGCCCCGCCCAGGGGCCCCTTCCCGTCCCGCGCGCCGCGGGGGCGACGAGAAAGCGCTTTAAGTTAAGTTATTGTAATTGTTGAATAAATTGTGATTAAAAATTGCTTGTTAAACTTTGTGAAGGACTTTTGCAATAAGTGTAATTTATAACATACTGTGGAAAAACAGGAATATTTAAGAAAATAAAATTGTAGAATTGCTGTCCCCACATATGAATAAAAGCAATGCTAGTTTCAATTTGTTGGCCCAAGACTATTATTCTTAAATGAAGTGCATGGAAAATTAGTGGAGAGCTGTTTAGAGGCTCCGATGAGTAATGACAGCATGTGCAAGAAGCCCAAAAAATGCACTGGTCGGAGGCCCCCAGTTTGAGGACAAGGCGTCAACCTGCCAAACTTTCACATAAAGCCGACAACGGTGACTTATTCTTAAACTGTACCTCCCATACCATCGCCTCAACACTGACTCGAAAAGATCTCGAAAGCACTTGCACAAGCAAAGCTTAGTACGTGCTTACTGTCGAATTCCCCCTTTGGGCTGAGTCGCAAACACACGCCTGCTCTAAGTCTCTCTCTAGGCTCGGGGGGAGGGACGGGCGGCTCGAGGGTTGCTGCCACCGTTGCACAGATGCATCCGATTATTTCATTAGAGACATAGAACATCCGTTACCATACACACAGACGAGTGTGTGTGTGTGTGTGTGTGTATATATATATATATGTATATATATATATGTATATATATATATATATATATATATATATATATATATATATATACATATATATTTATATATTATGTGTATGTATATATGTATAGAATATATTTAAATATATATATGTATACATTATACATATATACACATGTATCCATAAATACATACATACATACATACACATTTATATATATATATATATATATATATATATATATATATATATATATATATATATATATATATATATTTATATATATATATATATATATATATATATATATATATATATATATATATATAATATATATATATATGTATACTTACACACATGTATGTATGTATAAATACGCACACACACATCAATAAATGTGCATGTGTAAATTATATATATATATATATATATATATATATATATATATATATATATATATATATATATATATATATATATATATATATATATATATATATATATATATATATATATGTGTGTGTGTGTGTGTGTGTGTGTGTGTGTGTGTGTATGTGTGTGTGTGTGTGTTTGTGCGTGAGTGTGTATGTATATATGTATCTATATTATATATATACATATATGTATGTATATACGTACACACACACACACACACACACACACACACACACATATATATATATATATATATATATATATATATATATATATATATATATATATATATGAATATATATGAATATGAAGAAATATACCATATATGAATATATATGAATATAGTATATGTAATATGTATATGTATGTATATATATATATAGCATACAGTATATACTGTGTATGTCTTTCTGATAGTCTCTCTCTCTCTTTCTTTCTCTCTCTCTCTCTCTCTCTCTCTCTCTCTCTCTCTCTCTCTCTCTCTCTCTCTCTCTCTCTCTCTCTCTCTCTCTCTCTCTCTCTCTCTCTCTCTCGCTTGTTCGCTTTGTGTGTGCACATATTATATACATACATATATATATATATATATATATATATATATATATATATATATATATATATATATATATATATATATATATATACATATATATATATATATATATATATATATATATATATATATATATGTATATATATATATTATATATCATATATATGTGTTCGTACATACATATACCATACATACATACACACATGCATACATACACACATGCATACATACATACATACATACATACATACATACATACACATATATGAGAGTATACATGTATATGTAAATATGTGTGTGTGTATATATATATATATATATATAGAGAGAGAGAGAGAGAGAGAGAGAAGTATATACGTGTTTGTGCATATGCAAAGGAAGAGAAGAAAAAGCGGAGTAAACTGAGCAAAGGAAAGAGACCGAGATTCAGCGATGGATTCCATCGAGACATATCTTACGAGTGTCGCTGGCTCCGCTTCTCCTTCGCTTCCGACTTGAAGCGCCGCCCACATACTTCACAGGACCGAGCCCAGGCGCCTCAACCTGCCGCCTTGTTGCCAGGGCCGCCCGGAACCGGCGCTGAAGCCATGGGAGCTGGCGACGGGCGTGGCAGGCAGGTAGACAGCCGCTTTTACCATTACTATGCTTCCCCGTTAAAACAGGAAGTGTCACTTGTTAAAAACGAGATTGCAGAAAAAATATTGATAAGGTCTCTGAACAAAGCAAATGAGGATGTAACAGACTGATTCAGCAAACAATAAGATCAACGATATCCACACGAGCAGGTGTGCTAGAATTTGCTGATTATAGCACGTACTATGTAAGCCTAGACAGTGAAAATATGGGATTTTTTTCCTTACCCTTTCATTGCGTAGGCTGGACAAGGAACATATAGACTGTCAC